CTTAGAGCTCAACTTTATTCACCCCTCTCATTATTCACCTCAGGGGATGTTCTGAAAATACTGAGCCTTGTCAATGGTACCCCGGCGGGTTACCACTGATAACTCACAGTGTTTTGTGGGCTAAACAGGTGCTGCAGAGGGGACGATCGTACATCCCCTTGCGGGCCAGGCGCTACTCCTAACCTCCTAGCACTCCTTCCCAGTCCCCTGGTGTTGAGTTGGGCTCGGCAACGGCTCAACGTGTTGTTCTCGGTCACATGCTTCCCATGTGTGCGTTCCTCCTACCTGCTTGTCAGACTGCGGGTCGGGCCGTGCAAGGACCTCTCCTAAGAACGCGCACCCGGAACAGAACAGACAGATAATCGGGCCCGCAGGTACGGCGGGCGGGGTAGATCGAAGCAGAAAGGGCCCGTGAACTCGGTCCCTTGCCGTGGTCGGTGGTCGAAGGTTCGAATCCGGGTCGTGTCGGGCCCGATGAGTCGATAACGTCTCCTTGCACGGAGTAAGGTAGTTCTTCAGACGATCTAAGTGATAGAGTACAGGGTACACTATCGCGCCTTATATACGTGGGCCTGCAAAGGGGGTGATCGGACACCCTGGCCTCTCCCCCTCCTCCTCGCTCCTGTTCCTGGCCGCAGAGGGGACGATCATACATCCCTTGCGGGCCAGGCGCTACTCCTAACCTCCTAGCACTCCTCCCCAGTCCCCTTGTGTCGAGTTGGGCTCGGCGACGGCTCGACGCGTCGTCCTCGGTCACGTGCTTCCCACGTGTGCGTTCCTCCTACTGGGGTGCATGTTCCCCGTCATCACGTGCTGCGTGCTACGGGCCCACGATGGCCCGACACCAGCGCCGGAGCGGACGGGCCGGGTCTTATCCGTGACACTGCTCTCATGACTGCCTTCTACGACGTGGACAACTACCGGACATCAAACCAATTTCGATGGATTTGTCGCATCGGGGAAGCCTTCGCAATAAATGATATTAATTGTGTTGCAACGAGACAGCCATTGGATTGCACTTGTGATTGACGTGCCAGAGAAGACCATATTTGTTGGCAACTCACTGCCAATGAAGCTGCTCGAACACATTCATGAGCTGTACGACTGGTGGATTCAAGAGCATCTCGGTGAGTTGTTCGAGTGGTGGGAAATGGAAATCCCTTGACAACTAAATGACCACCCCTGCAGCATTTTTGCTTACTGCTCCATCGCCCGCTTTCTCCACCCCACCCGCTTCGACTATGGCCTATGAGCGCCTCAGGATGTTACTGCAGGTTGTTGGTCGTCACCAACTTGCCTTGGAGCAGGTGTGTAACCATATTTCAGAATTCCCCACTGCATAACAGAAGTCCCTTAGTAACGACTACAGGGCTGAAGCTGCTCAGAAGGTCAAATATTTTCCCTTCTATCACAATCTCACTAACTTGTTCGAGGACGAGGCCAACGACTTTAAATTTACTTTCCAGCTTGAGGTCTCGATGCCCAGCTCCACTGGATCAGATGAAGACGATTATGGAAGCAATTCAGCACACAAAGATGGCAATGGACTTGGCAACCCAAACAACGTTGACGAGGATGTCTATATGTCTGAGCCAGGAAGCGACATTGAAATTGAACAACCAACAGCACCTACTTCTTCATTGGAGTGAGCATTCGGGCAACAAACGACAATAACGCCCCACAGGAGCCCTTAGAAGAAGAAGATTCTAGCATGATGACGAGTCCCAGCACACGCGAGCCCGACCGAAAATTGTTTCTGCCCTCAAGCAGGCTGTTTCTGACTACAACAACATTGACAGTGATGGCCTAGACTCCTTGCTGCTACTCCATCTGCTCAAGCCTAGGAATCTAACGAAGGATGAGAAGGCGGTGGTGATATATGCGGAGCAGGGGGAACAACGTTGAGAGATGGCTGAGGCGAGGGCAATCAAGGCAAGGAGGGAGAAAGCAGAAGCAGACCAGCTGTGGAAAGACAATCAAAATGAGCGTTAGCGATGTTCACGAGCGAAGTGAAAGGCGGTGCAGGAAGCTCACAATCCCAAGGGACTCAAGCGGCAGCGCGTAAGTCAACTTATTGTTCCCAGTTCCGCAACTTCCTGAATTAGGTTGTTACTATGAAAACAGGGAAGGGACCAACGGGGCGAGATTGCAGATGGCTCACGGCCACAGCAAGCAATCGTTGACGCCTACAAGGCCAAAACTCGTAAGTCGTGCGGCCGGAAGCAAAAAAATCGCTCGCAAGCGTGTTGGATGGAATGTGGCATCCATAGTGGTGGATTTGCAGAAGTACAACTACAACTTCTTCTAATATCTGATGCGTCAGATGGTCGCTGGTTGGATTGAACTTCATCAGGGCTTTAATCGGTGGAAGTCATCTGTTTTAGAGGCGGCTGCAAAGCAAGCCCACACCCCGGGTCATTCCAAAGGAAGTAGTCGAGGAGTCTTGGTGCATTACTCAATACATTTTGAAAGGTTCACTCAATTCTGGCCAGGGCACCTATGAAGATATTGTGATCGAAACAGCATCTCAGCTTACGGCCATATGTGACTCAGGTGGTCCTGTTTCGACCCTCACGGCCCGCGGAATCATCACCGCCATCATCAATGACCTGCATCCAGAGATTTTTGAACACCGTTTCAAAGACAGCTCGAATGCTAGCATGGGATGGATCTGGGAGAGCTTCAAGGCTATCAATCGTCGAGATCTCATTCTCCAGGTTAATACACTGGAAAAGTGAACTAATAGAGGAGTTCAATCAAGAACTCAACCCTATTAATCTACTAATCCACTATTTGTTTGTGTATGTGTGTGTGTTTGGGGGTTCGAGTTGCAGGAAACAACTAACGGATTCAGAATATCCAAATATAGCAATAGAATCTGCTTATTGAGAGCTTTCTACAGATCACTTTCTACTGTTGTGATGAAACACAGAAGAAGGAACAATTAAGCTCGACCTCCAAAGTGCTTCAGAAAATGAACAAGAGAATGTATCTGCTCTTGACACAAGATACTAACTCAAATATGCAAACAAACTTGCTTCCTGGCCACTTGTTTTCTGTAAACAAGATCCCTTGCTTCCTTGTCCTTGCACTTACACTTAACCTGACCTAACTTGACTGCTGCCTTGCTTCCTAGTTACCTGGTTGTCACACTTGTGACCTAGCTGCCTTGCTTACTTGCTAAATATGGTTATAAGTGGGGTGGGATTCTCTAATCTATGTACTACAATTGAGCTCCTTATGTACTACTCAGAATTTAATTATGTAATGTGACAATTAAACCAATCATGTGACAAAAGAAGGACCATGACTCAGTTGGAGTCAGTATGACTCAGTTTGAGTCATTGTGGCTGTGCATTCTACAATATTGTGGACAATCAATCTTCTATATTGGGATGTTCTATTCCCACAACCTATGGTTCAGGTCTAGGCCGGAATTCTGTGGCTGTGCTGCCAGAGCGGTCCAGAACTGGTATTTTTTAGCCTTTCTGGGTACATCTAGGTCTCTAGACTTATCTAGACTCATCCAATCCTGCTATAACTCTGGAATGTCCTCAAGTATTGAGAGCATTCAAATTATAATATTTGCTCTATTTGATCAGTTTCTAGATGTGCTCCATTTACAAGCTCATCAAGGTAAAGCCGCTTTGCTTTGTTATCAGAGGGGAAGCTGATTTGTTCAGGCATGGTCAATGTGCAAAGTTCGCGGCGGAAAGGATCTTTCATTCACATCTTGGGACACCAATAAACGTCTAATCAAACTCAGGAAGGAGAAACCAGACATCTGGAATGCTTTTGAGACGAAAACAGCCTGCGACTACCGTCCTAGCGATGACGAGCATGTCACTGAAAATGAACCAACTGCCTACGATGACTCCGAACTAGGAGGCGACGACTCTGAAGTCCCTACAGCTGAGGTGATTCATGATACCGTCTTCAAGAAGCACGACCAGCGAAGGAAGCAACTTGTTGACGACAAGGAGGTGGAGGGTTTGGTGACGATGAATGCAGCTGAGGATGACAATGCCGACTTCCCCATCATTTCTGTGCCAATGGAGCTGGGGCAAGGTAAACGGGAACGGAAATCAAACACCTTATATAACTCACAGGCGTTCTGGCGACACACTAACAATCGTGGACGGGATCTTCCTCTTCCCAAATTAGAGTAGCAGTTTTATAGCCAATAAGGAGTATGAATCATGTTCTTGATAGCTGGGCGGCCGCAGAAAAAATTACATATTTTTGAAGCATTCAGAGCAAAATTCGTGACCGTTTGAACAATTCAGCGGAGGACTCTGTGACCGGTGACAGGCAGAAATATTTTGGCAAAAAAATCAGTTGTGACATGCAGAATTGAACGAAATGGTACAGTACTACTGAAACTGATTTCTACTATAGTAGTAGCAATGTATTGCTTTATGGAATTACTATATAATAGATCACATAGAGCATTGATTCAAAATATGTAACTGTATGTTTAAATCAGACTACATTCAGTCCTATTAAGGGGCATATAGATTGGAAAGTGGCTATTATAATCCACCTTACCATATCTGAATATTCTGTGGCCATAATATAGTATAGTCATAAGATAATATAATATATTCAAATATAATCATATTCAACTGATGGACCAAAGGCATAATATATTCATAATATTCTGAATATATTCAATATTTAATCAACCATAATATCATTTTGGCCAGTATTAACTACACCCGCTATATAGTACCCTACATAGTGCCACTATGTAACAGTTCTCTTCTTCATGATCTGGCTGATGTAGATATTTTTCCAAATTTAGTAGTTTTTAACCATGCATTTGTTCAAAACCCTCCCCCCCCATTCAACCTCCGAGTTGTCCCACAATGAAAACGAAAGAAACAGAAAAGCAAGCCTATCGGAGGCTTAACAACGACTCTCATGCAAACTTCTCATCTTTGTGTTAACTTATACCAAAGGAATGTGCTGTAACGACCGATTGCCCTAATGAATGTCGATTACTCATATACGAACTGAAGCTCGCGCTCCTTCTCCCTCGTCGTCGCAGCGCGCTTCAAGTTATTCGCGTCCTCCCGCCAGTCGCCCGCAAAGGGATACGAATACGTGCTTGCGCTGCGCACTCGTCCGGGCCGAGCAGACGCCGGGTGAGAAGCATACGACGGGGGCGGCCCGGGGAGGTTCTCCACCGCAGAGGCATGGCTGTGTAGCAGCTCTGAATGCGACCGGATGAAGTCGCTTTCCGTACCGGTGTACGTGTATGTATGGAAGGACGGCGCGGGCGGGGGGTAGCGGCGCCACTCGGATTCCTGTTTGCGCTGTTTGCGCCGCCACCAGAGCAAGCCGGCTGCGAGAAGCAGCAGGAGGAACAGCGGCCCGAGGATGCCGCCAATTATAGCACCGATCGGCGCTTTCTGCTTGCCCGAGCTGTGGAGCATTTCAGTTATGGCGTAAGGGAATAAGGTGACACACGAACAGAGCAGCGTTGCCGGCGGGCGACGGCGTCGCGTTTTGGCTAACTACCGCGTCGGGGTGCGCGGTGCTGCCAGTGATATTAGCGGATGGTTCCGAAAACACCTTACAGAGAAAATAGCACACCTGGGCGACGCACTTGGCGGCTGGTTTAAGACTGTTGTTGTCGCTAGCCTTTGGATGCTGAAGAGAGTCACGGTACTAGTACTAGGGACCCCGGGCTTCTCGGGCGGGGGATTGTCAGGCTGAGGGCTGCCAGTGGTTGTGGCCAGCGACGGTGTGCCAGTGGGCCTAAAATGCATCAGTGCCAGCAGTGAGTAAAAGGCGAATGTAGCGCACGGCGGTGGAGGAGGAGGGGCGGCGCCACTGGCAGACGCTGCGAAGTTGGGCTTGTGGCCAGGACAGGAAGGTCCCGACCCGTCCTCTAAGTGCACAGTGAGCGGCACCAAGGAACCAGTGTAGGTGCACACAACGCCCGTCTTGTAAGTGCATGTGACCGCAAAGGCTTTAGGGAACCGGCTGTCCTGCAGGTCGTTCCCTGCCTGGTCCTTTTTCGGACACCACTTTGCACTGGCAGCCTGCTCGTCGCGCACTCGGATGTGCACCATGGGAGAGAAGAGAGAAGATTTACGCACGACACACAGCGCTACGCATATCATCCATCCAGAGCATTGCCCGCGTCACTCCACCTCCATCGCACGATTGACGCCCCGCTGGCAGATCAGCCCAAACGAACTCCGTGCGTCGCGACCATCCTGATGCTGATATCAAGCCCCGGCTGGCGTCTCTCGAAGACAGCGATGATGCTGCTGGCCGTGGCGTGGCGCACAGTAACCGGACTGGGGGACAGCAAGCGGGCAGAGTACGAGCGTGATGGTGGTTGCTGAGAGAGAACGGAAGTATGAGTCATCGGCAACGTCGATCATTCACCGTGACGTGGCATGATGGCACGTGCCGGTGACGCCACTCGATCATTTTGTCAACAACGGCCATCTTGACGAAAAGCGCCGTCCCGGCCCCTGGATTGTCTTCCGCCCTCTGCGCCGGCCTCCTCATCCGAGCCGCTGCCTACATGATGGAAGCTTCCAAGATGTCGATAAACTTGGATTCGAAGCAGAGCGTGCGGCCCTGAATGTGCTGGTTCTGGCCGAGGCCAAGGCCAACTGCTCAAGACCGCCGGTACGTGCTGTGCCTCTCTTTCGTCCCCTTTCCTCACTTCCCATGCTCATTGTCCTGGCCAGGCTGCCAGGGCCCAGGAGCGCCTCGATGCCACACCTTGCACCGCGCCAATTGCCCGTGGCCTCGACGTTCACATGCCCACCGACTGACACCGCCGGGAACGCGCTGGTGGAGAACGCGGGCCTCGCGGTGGCGGGAGTGTGCCTGTACGCGGGCGCTACACGCGAGGAGTGCGTCTATCTCGTGCGTCGATTGCTAGTTCGTTGTGTTTGAAACCGTTGACATGTGGCACACAGCGCGGGGCCTTAGTTCAAGGGCCCGCTACCTGCCCTTCTGTAGCCTCAGCGTCGTACGTAGGCCGGCCCCCACTTTAGCTGCCGAGAAAACCACCTGAAATAACATAGCACTGCTGTTGGAGCGCATGCCCCCGGGGGCCACGGGTAAATTTTTAACTTTCTCCCCTCCGAATCAGTACCTTCTCACTCCAACTTCCCAGCACCATCGTCTTCACCACGAGCCTCCCCCGTTCCCGCCGCTGCCATCGCCGGAATCGCCGCTGGATCGATTGTGCTGGTCGCCACTGTTGCGCTTCTCGCCTTCTTCCTCACGCGTCGTCGCCGGCGACGACGCGCGCTGCAGGCACTCGATGGGGGCGTCCGCGCCGTCTCGCCCTACCTCATGTCGGCGAACCCCGTCAGCCCACCATCGTCCAAGCTGGCGCTACGGGAACGCGTCAGGCAGCTAGAAGCGGAGTTGGCGGCAGGCGCTGGACCGCCGGTGTATACGCCTTCGTCGGGGCCTTAGATTTTTTGATCGAATCTTGATTAGTGAGGACGGAAATGTCTCCCTGCACGAGTTCCCACGCCACCGAGCTATCCCACAGACTCCAGAGATGAGTGACGAGCACTGTGTTTACCCTTGCCAGTGAAAGTTGACAGGCGACTGTCAGTCGCCTGTACACAAACACATCATCTAGAGCAGTGTACCATGATTGTATTGCTCTCTTCCCTGTACTTATCCACGATTATTTTCGGGTTAAATGGATATTTAGGAGCATACGCTGTTGAAGCCTATGAGTCATCGCAATTGACGTGCACGTGCGCGCTGACTCAGCGTACTTGGGTTGCTAACAACACTCATCTTCGCAACCGCCGCTGTACTGCCCCTCCTTCTCAAGCCCGTCTTCCTCGCATACGCCTATCAGGATGGTCGCCTCCGTACTGTGATGTGCTCCCGGCGGCTTGTCCGGCGGAATTTTAAGCCGTGGTCATTAGTGCCGCGAAGCGATCTTCGTGGCTCGGCGCAGCGCGGCTCTGTCGCACATCAGGAAAATGACAAGTGCTTTTTTGGTAGCTTGGGTAGTCCTTTATTCAGTTTTATCTTTTTTGTGAACTTGTGCCAACCTTATGGACAGCTTGAATGACTTGTGATACTTTTAAGCTTTCTTCCTTTAAAAGCTTTAAAACTTTTTTAGCTTCAGATATTCTTGAAAATGATAAAATATCTGAAAATAATATTTTTGAAAAAAATTTAAAATAATATTTCATGTGCATGGTAGTCTGCATACTTGTTTACATAAAAAGCTTCAAATGCATCTAAAGAGTCTGAAAAGCTCAAGTCTTTGTCATCAGGAGGTAGAAAGTCCTTGCCAGCCACACCAATCAAATGCACTCCCCGTAAGATCGCATCAAGATGGACAACTGCTAGCAAGGGTTCTGTGCGCAGAACCCCGAACCCAGTCTGGCTTCACAATCCACATCCCAGTATCCAGACAAGGGGCATCGCCATGAGCAGAGAACCAATGAACCAAGGCGCAGGGATATTGAATACCGCGGAATGTGAACTTCATCAAAAGTCGAACACGGACAGCGTGAAGGCCACGAAAGCCCTGAGCGTCGGTGTCATGCTCGATGAGAGCACAGTCGTATCGAGGTGGACCACGGTACCATGACTTGGTGGCTCGAATTCGTTCATGACGCATCCCACCAATCCCGCAGATGTCGCTAGGAGCATAGAACACTGCCCGGGCGGAGGTGTAGATATAGACACGTTCTGCGAAGTCTGGACAGTCGTCAAGAGGGATAATGTCCTCAGTTGCGGCTTGCTCAGGATTGAGCTGCTCGAAGAGAAAGCGTCGAATAAGTTCGTGAAGACGTGGCTGGTGTACATAACGTGCCAACTGGTGTATGTCGCGGGGCACCTTTCGAACTGGAAAGGCTTTATCAAACACGGTAGTAAAAGATAGGAGGTGTCAGGAACGGGGCCGGCCCGGGCCCACGCGACGATCTCCTGCCAGTCTGACAAGTGTGGGAAAGATGGTTCAACCCCCATAGCTGGGTGGTTGGCAACCAGGCAGCGTAGATGGGTGCCACCGCTGCAATAGAGAGCAGGGTCGGGACAACTCGGGGGGACTCGAGACGCCCCGCTGTCACGTTGTGTGACAGCGGTGTCGCGGGATCGAGTAGTCGCCTAGAGTGTCCTACCCCGCTTGAAGGGAACGAGTCCATAGCCAAAGAGTGCTGTCTAGTAGAGTTGGTGCCCAAGGCATAGGGAAGCACAGGCTCAGCCAGTTGAACAAGCTGTTCGGGCGGGGCGTGACGTAACGCGGTCACGCCCGACGGTTCGGGGGGTCGAGGGGATTCGCCCCGCAACAGGGGCTGCGGGCCCGAGACCCCTGGAGCGCTTGAGAAGGGTTGCCAGTCCAAGGGGCGACATATCTCCTTTCCTGGAGCAACGAGTCGCTGTGGCTCCTAGACACCGCGTGACGGCGCGGTGTGACGCGTGACATGCGGGCCCGATCGCGCCCGATTGGGCCCGCACCCTCCCATCGCCCCGTACCAGGGGAACCCAGAGCTTGAGGCCAGAGAGCAAGAAGAAGTGGCTAGGACAAGGGTGAACATAAGAGACAAGAGCCTGAGCTGTCCAGCCCAACCAAGGGCTCAGGTCAATGAGGCAAGCTAGCCTGGAGTGTTGGAAGTCGTCTAGACGCCCCTTTCCTGGGGTATGGTCGCAGCAACCCCGCTCTAGGGGACCAGGCCGGAGTAGGGTTCAAAGGAAGAGACTTCAATGCTAAACCTAAGGTACAGGAGTAATACTGTAGTCTTTATATACTGTGGGCGCTAGGGGCCGATCGGGCCCGCTGAGGGTCGATCAGAATGGAGCAGGGGATGTCTCTGGTCGTCCCTGGTCGCTCCGCTAGGAGCCCAGGGACCATTCCTCTGGAAGGAGCCATGCCAAAGTCGACACTAAGGAGTGTTTGGCAATGCAACAGTGAGGAGCTCCCTCCTGATCCCTGTGGTTGTCTGGGGCCGATTGGGCCCGCTGTCAAGGGCGTCCGGCGGCGCATCATGATCCCTGATGGCGGGTCATGATGGCTTGATGGCTGACTAAAGCGCGATCCGTTATTATGTCCCTTCTCTGGGATATTAGTGTTGTTGCTCAGTGCTTTGAGCTTGTGAATATATGAGGGCTTGGCTCTAAGGGTGGTGAGGGCCCGTCGGGCCGTATAGGGCCCGTTGGCCCGACCCGAACCCTGACATCACCCCCCCACTAGGCGAAACTCGTCCCGAGTTTTATCGTCCGATTTCCGTATTCAATTCCGATTTGTTGAGAAAAAAATTTCGTCATTCGCATGTAGATGCCTTCTCGTCGAAGGGCTTAGTCGATTCCTCTCTCGCGTCCAGGCCCCAGTCGCGTCCTCCCAAAGGATGATCAGACATCCTGACGCTCTCCTGGGTCTCCCCCGTTCCCCGTTCCTGGCCGAAGCGGAGGTGGTCGTACACCCCATCCGGTCCAGGCGCTGCGCCTAACCTCCCAGCACTCCTCCCCATCGCCTGTTTCCCCAGGCACGCCCTTGCAAGGGATGATCCGACATCCGGACGCTTCTGAGTCTCCCCCGTATCCCGTTCTTGGTCGCAGAGGAGGCGGTCGTACACCCCATGCGGTCCAAGCGCTGCTCCAAACCTCCCAGCACTCCTCCCCATCGTCGGTTGTTGAGTTGGGCTCGGCGACGGCTCGACGCGTCCTTCTCGGTCACGTGCTTCCCACGTGTGCGTTCCTCCTCTACTGGGGCACCTGTTCCCTGTCATCACGTGCTGCGTGTTGCGGGCCCGCAATGGCCCGACACCAGCATCGGAGCGGACAGGCTGGGTCTTATCCATGACATCACCCCCTCCATAGGAACGACTCATCTCGAGTCGGCGTGGCTCGGTCGCCCCGGTTTCTCGGGGTGTTTTGTTGTTCACATTTTCCGAACACTGGCTTCTAGTTGCATGCTGAGCACCGGCTGCGCGTTTTTAGACCATTTGTAGCTTCTCCCGTTTGCGTGATGTCAGCCCGGTCCGGTGCGTCCGCGCGTTTGCCATGTTCAGTCTCGTTGCCAGTCGAAGCCCAGAGGCGATGGGGTCGTTATGACGACGCCTAGCCATCCCTCTGTCCAGCCTCCAGTTTTGGGGTGTTATTGTCCCCGGTTTTTTGCTGCCAGTGTGCAGCCACCCCTCCAGGGGTCATCGTTGTTTTTTCGTATATGCAGATTTGGCCCGTCAGTTCGTCGGGGCCCGTCCAGGCCGATTCGGGCCGATGTGGGCCGAATCGGGCCGATTCACGTCATCGATCCCATCATCTTAGTCGTATGAGGGTTTGAACATCAATTCGCACAGTTTTGGGTTTGTCTGGTTGAAGGCCAGCACCTTTGAACGAAATTTCCCACGGTTGGGAAGGGGTGACGTTGGGCGCACGGGACGGGTCTCTTGCTAGTGAAAAGAGCCTGGGTCTGCTTCTTCCCCCAGCGCTCCCAGAGTGGTTTTCCACTCTCCTTGGCTGCTATAGAGGTGGGGACGGACTCAACGTTTCCCGTGCCTCAAGCGCCCGTTCACTGGAGTGGACGCCCCATGGCAGAAAGAAGTTGCAGCCCAGAAGTCGACATCTGGGGGAGCCGATATTCCTTACCTCGGCGCCAGGGTACGAGAATTCGAAAGAAAAGGGTATAGGGAAAGAATTTGCCAAGTAAGGGCGAGAGAAACAAAGGTTCGTGTCGGGACCAATGGGTTGTGGGGCCTGTGAATTGACAGGCCAGACTTTGGGTCGGTCCGTGCAAGGTCTATGATAAGAACACACGCCCAGAACAGAACAGACGGATCGTCGGGCCCGCAAGCAGAGCGAGCGGGGTAGATTTGAACCGAAAGGGCCCGTGAACTCGGTCCCTTGTCGTTTTCGGTGGTCGAAGGTTCCAATCGGGTCATTTCATCGCGTCATTAGGCGCAGAAGGTGTTTGAAGAACTCCTTAACCGGAGTGAACAAGTGGAGCAGGTTTTGACCTGTTCCCAGGAGTTTTAACGCAAAGGGGCGGACTCCTCAACCCATAAGACGAATGGAGCAAAAGTTGTTGGCTCCCAGGAGTTTCAAGACGAAAGGGATAACTCCTCAACCCATTGGACGAAGTGCCGACACATCGAGTGGTCGTTCAGCACAGAAAGGATTGCTCCAAGAACTTGAGCTTTCTAGAGAGCGCCCCACACTTGAAAGAAGGACAGTAAAGGAGGTTTAGCATTCTGTCAGGAACGGGGCCGGCCCGGGCCCACGCGACGATCTCCTGCCAGTCTGACAAGTGTGGGAAAGATGGTTCAACCCCCATAGCTGGGTGGTTGGCAACCAGGCAGCGTAGATGGGTGCCACCGCTGCAATAGAGAGCAGGGTCGGGACAACTCGGGGCGACTCGAGACGCCCCGCTGTCACGTTGTGTGACAGCGGTGTCGCGGGATACGAGTAGTCGCCTAGAGTGTCCTACCCCGCTTGAAGGGAACGAGTCCATAGCCAAAGAGTGCTGTCTAGTAGAGTTGGTGCCCAAGGCATAGGGAAGCACAGGCTCAGCCAGTTGAACAAGCTGTTCGGGCGGGGCGTGACGTAACGCGGTCACGCCCGACGGTTCGGGGGGTCGAGGGGATTCGCCCCGCAACAGGGGCTGCGGGCCCGAGACCCCTGGAGCGCTTGAGAAGGGTTGCCAGTCCAAGGGGCGACATATCTCCTTTCCTGGAGCAACGAGTCGCTGTGGCTCCTAGACACCGCGTGACGGCGCGGTGTGACGCGTGACATGCGGGCCCGATCGCGCCCGATTGGGCCCGCACCCTCCCATCGCCCCGTACCAGGGGAACCCAGAGCTTGAGGCCAGAGAGCAAGAAGAAGTGGCTAGGACAAGGGTGAACATAAGAGACAAGAGCCTGAGCTGTCCAGCCCAACCAAGGGCTCAGGTCAATGAGGCAAGCTAGCCTGGAGTGTTGGAAGTCGTCTAGACGCCCCTTTCCTGGGGTATGGTCGCAGCAACCCCGCTCTAGGGGACCAGGCCGGAGTAGGGTTCAAAGGAAGAGACTTCAATGCTAAACCTAAGGTACAGGAGTAATACTGTAGTCTTTATATACTGTGGGCGCTAGGGGCCGATCGGGCCCGCTGAGGGTCGATCAGAATGGAGCAGGGGATGTCTCTGGTCGTCCCTGGTCGCTCCGCTAGGAGCCCAGGGACCATTCCTCTGGAAGGAGCCATGCCAAAGTCGACACTAAGGAGTGTTTGGCAATGCAACAGTGAGGAGCTCCCTCCTGATCCCTGTGGTTGTCTGGGGCCGATTGGGCCCGCTGTCAAGGGCGTCCGGCGGCGCATCATGATCCCTGATGGCGGGTCATGATGGCTTGATGGCTGACTAAAGCGCGATCCGTTATTATGTCCCTTCTCTGGGATATTAGTGTTGTTGCTCAGTGCTTTGAGCTTGTGAATATATGAGGGCTTGGCTCTAAGGGTGGTGAGGGCCCGTCGGGCCGTATAGGGCCCCGTTGGCCCGACCCGAACCCTGACAGGAGGAAGACAGTACCACAGCTCTTTGCAAGAGTTACCTCCCCTAGGCAGGTAGGGCCCGGAACATCCCCTTCTTCCACATCATCATCAATAGTGGTCTCTACTGGTTGAGGTTCCTCCTCTACAGGTGCCAGCGGTGATGCAAATAGCAACCCAGATAGCATGCCACGGGCAGTGAAGTCAGCCCGTGGTTCGTCGAGTCGTTGGTTCGAGAGGAGCATTTGACCAAGGGGTTTATTTCGATTAGAGCAGCGGTATGGTCGCTTTACGGCCCGGATATGCTTCGACTCCGTGATCGAGCTGCAAAGTCCATTTGGAACACCAAAGTCCATGATGCGAGCAATATAATGCTTCAATGCATGCTGCCGAGGGAGCGAAAATCCTTGCGGACGTACAACTCGGAAGGCCTCACGGTAGTGATGATAGCGCCGGATCGTCTCGTCAATTATCTGAAGGGTATCTTCATCAATTACCGAGCGGCGAACCAGGTAGCAGAATTCAATTAGTGCTGCAACCGCCTGAACCATTTCACTTGGAACATGGCCAATGATTGCTGGAAGATAGACCTTCCACCCTTTCAGTCCTGAATATAGCTCTGAATCTTGACTTACCTTCATTAAACCCTTTGAATCATTTCCCGTCCACTGTTTGAAGCCTCGCCCGACAGGAAAACGTCGCAGCCCTGGAAACGGTGGAGCCACAGCAATACTAATAATATATATCAGAGAAGTGAATAAGTTTAAATGAAGGGCATTACCGTCGATCAATGTCTGCCAGAATACGCTCAGCTTGTGCAGGCTCATTCACTTGCTTGATATACAATTCAATCCAGTCGACGATATGGTCCTTGAATGTCCCCTTAATAATTTGATGTAAAAGATCGACCGAAATGAGTTCGTGAATATCGGCACGAGGAAAGTCCGCTGTAAACGGCTATACCAGATAAGTACAATTACAGACAGATACATAGGACAAACAATTATATCCCCCACAACCCCATAGTTGTCCCACATCTCCTTCAGCGTCAACGTCTCCAGCAGAGCTGCAGTATGCTCGCAAGACCGCAGCGGGCTGTCGGCGGATGGACGAGTGGAATAGCTGTCGTCGAAATTTGCGAAACTCATTGCTGTTGGCATATTGTCGTGTTGCTAATATCTATTAGTGTTTGAAAAATACGGAGAAGCACCACATACTCTTTGGAATGGCGAGGAATGCAAGCAAAGCGATACCATCGCGATGACTACGTCGAGCGCTATTATGCTCGTTGCCAACACCTCCATACATCGGCCAGAAGTCGACATTCCCAGTTCCAATTGAAGCCGTGGTTTTGTCGCTGCCAGTAACAATGGGAACGAACATCGCTCCATGTGTCTTCTCATCTTTGGCGATGATATCCTGCAAGCGCTTAGCTTGAATGTGGATTGAGAGGGTCAACTTACTGCTTGCCTCCATGCCCAGTTACCGGACATTAAATCAGTAAACTGTCGGTTGTCGTTCTTGAAAACGCGTTTGGGAGCCCAGTCGAGCTCATCCCTGAACTCCGGATTGGCTAGTTGTCGCTCAAAGATAGCGAGCGGCGACCGGAACCAGACCTCGTAGGTTTGTGTCATCCACGAGGGTGTTTCGCCTGTCTCAGGACGCGGGCCGGTGTACTGGACAGAGAATGACTGCCAGGGAATGTCGCCCTGCTGTATCTCATCGATCATCGCATAGAGATGGTGATGGTTGTTGAAATACGGGTCGTCCTTGTATAGTGCTGCCATAAACTGCGCCAGTTGATCAATGGAATCCCCCGACATCTCTTGTCGCTTGAAGATGAACTCCGCGAACTCGAATTGAGCGCGGGTGTCGAACGAGCCCCAATCGTCCTCGGCGCGTTCATCCAATGGTGGGGGTGCAGCGCCAGGAGGGAGGTCGTATCCATCGGCATCGCAGGGTGTCCCTGAGAAGTGGTCAGAATGGTTTGCAGAACTATTAAGATATGCACCATCAAGCACAGGATGGTGCTTGATTCGCACACGCTCGTGCGCGATTGGTTCAGCCACTGAGGCTGGAGGTGCCTCGGGCGGCGGTGAGGGAGGTGGGAATGGCAGAGGGTCGTCGATAGGCTCCAACTCTGGAGAAGTTTGATGTTGGTTGTTGGCGGTGAGCCGGCCGAGAGCAGCAGCGTTGGAAAGTAAAGGGTGGCTGTTTCGGTGTCGAGTCAAGCCCGAAGTTGACAGGCAAGCCTTCCCACAGATGTCGCACAGAAAGCGAGCGGTGCTGAAGGGTTGGCGGGCTCGACGCGGCATGGATTGGACGGCGGGGAGACAGTTGCGCGCGTTCGCGTATGCAGGAAGATGGGCAAGGACGGTGGGGCCCCCACGTAAACGGCGAGCTGTAAGCACGTTGTAGCCTCAGCCAAGGTGTGTCAGAGACTCACCGCTTCCTTGGAGCCAAGTAGCCAGAGGCCCAGAGTTGGCCCAGAGTCAAGCGCGTCAGAGTTGTGTCAGAGTTCGGAAGGCCGCTGCCGGTCCGCCGGAGCGTCAGCACGCATGACACATCTTCCGATGGTCGCGGTCGTGAAAATTTTCACTCCGCCCACCATCTCTGCCCTCTGTCCCGCCAGCTAGCACACCCCAGCCGCCATGACACGTATGTGCCAGTGTCTCCAGAGGGGATGTTGGATTGCTGACCCCGTTCGTAGGGTCAGATCGCTCTCTGTGCGCCACCTGCGAGATAAACACGCCGGACACCTTCAACGACATTTCTGCAGCCCAACCCGCTGTTTGAGACACCCAAAAGGCGATGGTTGGTGAATCTGGGAGTGGTATAAAAGCAGGTGAGTGCTTGCGTGCCGCTTGTGAATCTTTTCTCATTTCAGATGGCTGGTCGTTCTCGCAAATCAGTCGCTCTCCCTCCAACAGCGGTTGAAGTGCGTGTTTCTTTCAAAATATTCTATCTAGTGCTAACCCTTTTTGACTAGCAAAAGGCAAGGTCGAAGTCGAAGTCAAAAGCCCCAGCAGTTGTAAAAGCAGCTGCTGTAACCAAGAACTCGTCAAGTCTTGACCAAAACGAGCCGGTTCGTCATATCTGGATATCTTTCAGTCGCTTTATCCTCCCTATAGGCCTCTTCTGGCGCCGCTAACACCGCTCAAATGAACAGCGAAGACGAGGCTTCCCGAGCGCCTCACAGTATGGCTTCTCGAATGCTTTGAGTCCATACTAAACATTCCTGTCTCCAGATGACCATGCGGCCCGGGCGTGCACTAAACCCCGGGCTGCCTGATATGCCTCGTAGCAAGCGCACAAGCGCTGAAGTCGCAAAGACCAAGCAAGCCATCAACAGCAAGCTCGCAACTGCCGCCAAATACGCCTCGGGCGTCAAGAATATTGCTCACATCGAGGCTCAAGCACTGCGCGAACAGCAGAAGACGATCCAAACAGCGGCTCATCCTCCGGTTGCGCAGACCCACAAGAAGCTACGTCCCCGTCCAGAGCAAGGTCCTGCAGCGGTCGACAAAACACAAGGTATTATCTAATTTTAAAGTGACTTCGCCTCTGACTATTCTTCCTAGCATTTGTTGACTTCTCTGACGGCCGAGGCAGCAGCGACGAGTACCAGCAGAGCCACGAAGATGACGACGACGACGACGACCCATCCAACGACGTTATGGATGTCGAATCGGACACAGAACCCGCCAAACCCCCTCCGGTAAAGAAATCCAAGGCACATATTCGTGCTGCCGTCGAAAAAGGCGCAGAACTTGTTGCTGCTGCTGCACCTGCATTGAAGCGCAAGGCCTCACAAACTGAGTGGGTTTCTTTTGCACATTTTTTGCCACAATACTGACGACGTTCAACTACAGAGTCGCTCGCACCACAAAAAAGGCCCGCGCCGCACAACCCCATGGTCTTCGAAAAGACTATCGACCCTCTCGTACTGACCAACCCGATGTCGATATGGCCTGGGACGATGGAAATGACACAGACGACGTTGGCGGCGGCTTTATCTCTGACAACGAAGATGATGGTGAGGAACGGGCGGCCGTCATTCGCTCCCCAGGCAAGGCCAAGGCCGCTATTGCTAAGGTAAACCATCGATTATTTGTGTCGCATACTGACTCCACCTAGATTCCTGCGCTTGCGGGCATTGTCGCCACGACTGAGCCAATGTATGTTGCCCCGAAGGACGACTCCACAACCACCACGAAGCTCAAGAAGGGTTCGATTACCCACAATAACCTGATCAACGGTGTCAACAAGCTCGTCCGCCCATATGCGAAGATTGAGCAGCTGATCAAAAAGCTGAAGATGCACCATTGGTATCGGATTATCCAAGCTGCGCAGAAGGCTGCTACAACGCGCAACGAGGCGGTGTCCACCCCCATCGAGGTTTCCTCTGATGATGAGAGTGACTTTGATGTTGTAGACTACGACGCTGTTTCGGACTATTTTGAGTAGTTTATGAGTAGTTTTTTGTTTTCTTTATGCCAATTATGATTTATGCAGACAAAACAGAGATGGATTCAACTACCTTTAAGGTAACTTGGCTAGAACTTGAGAGTGAACTTACAGAAGCTTTACTAGCTTTATTACCTTAAAAAAGAAAGGAACATAACTTTCAAAAGATGCAAAAGAGCTTTTGAACTTTGCAGCTCTTTTTGGCTTTTATGACTTTGAAAAGCTCAAAAAGTACAAAAAGCTTCAGTTGTCATTTTCCTGATGCACTCTCACGTAGGTTCCAATCCGACATCTGCCATGGACTTTCTCCACTACAACAACAGGTTTCGCAAGCCAGAGTGACGGTAATGGACAGTATAAGCCCACACTCGTCTCCTCCACTCATCTTTGTCGACGTCTGAAGCTAGCTATGTATCCTGACCCGCTCCGGCGCTCTTCCACCTCGTTCGAGTGTCCCTCTGTGGATTCGGCCGGCAAGCCACTGTTCTCGAGCATCGATACCACCAGCGGCGGAAACCTGATCTCGACGTGCACATATGGATAATGGCAGCAGAGAGTCAAATAAAAGAAGCACATGTGTTGTCAGGAACAGGGCCGGCCCGGGCCCACGTGACGGTCTCCTGCCAGCCTGACAAGTGTGGGAAAGATGGTTCAACCCCCATAGCTGGGTGGTTGGCAACCAGGCAGCGTAGATGGTGCCACTGCTGCAATAGAGAGCAGGGTAGGGACAGCTCGGGGCGACTCGAGACGCCCCGCTGTCACGTTGTGTGACAGCGGTGTCACAGGATACGAGTAGTCGCCTAGAGGGTCCTGCCCCTGCTGAAGGGAATGAGTCCATAGCCAAAGAGTGCTGCCTAGTAGAGTCGGTGCCAAGACATAGGGCAAGGCATAGGCTGGGCCAGTTGAACAAGCCGTTCGGGCGGGGCGTGACGTAACGCGGTCACGCCCGACGGTTCGGGGGGTCGAGGGGAGTCGCCCCGCAACAGGGGCTGCGGGCCCGAGACCCCTGGAGCGCTTGAGAAGGGTTGCCAGTCCAAGGGGCGACATATCTCCTTTCCTGGAGTAACGAGTCGCTGTGGCTCCTAGACACCGCGTGACGGCGCGGTGTGACGCGTGACATGCGGGCCCGATCGGGCCCGCACCCTCCCATCGCCCCGTACCAGGGGAACCCAGAGCTTGAGGCCAGAGAGCAGGAAGAAGTGGCTAGGACAAGGGTGAACATAAGAGACAAGAGCCTGAGCTGTCCAGCCCAACCAAGGGCTCAGGTCAAAGAGGCAAGCTAGCCTGGGTGTTGGAAGTCGTCTATACGCCCCTTTCCCGGGGTATGGTTGCAGCAACCCCGCTCTAGGGGACCAGGCCGGAGTAGGGTTCAAAGGAAGAGACTTCAATGCTAAACCTAAGGTACAGGAGTAATACTGTAGTCTTTATATACTGTGGGCGCTAGGGGCCGATCGGGCCCCTGAGGGTCGATCAGAATGGAGCAGGGAATGTCTCTGGTCGTCCCTGGTCGCTCCGCTAGGAGCCCAGGGACCATTCCTCTGGAAAGGAGCCATGCCAAAGTCGACACTAAGGAGTGTTTTGGCAATGCAACAGTGAGGAGCTCCCTCCTGATCCCTGTGGTTGTCTGGGGCCGATTGGGCCCGCTGTCAAGGGCGTCCGGCGGCGCATCATGATCCCTGATGGCGGGTCATGATGGCTTGATGGCTGACTAGAGCGCGATCCGTGATTAGGTCCCTTCTCTGGGATATTAGTGTTGTTGCTCAGTGCTTTGAGCTTGTGAATATATGAGGGCTTGTCAAGCCCTAGGGCTCTAAGGGTGGTGAGGGCCCGATGGGCCGTATAGGGCCCCGTTGGCCCGACCCGAACCCTGACATGTGTCTACTTCGTGTGTGCCATGCTTTGGCCTGTTTCTTGCCTAGCTCACCACCATCTTAAGAATGGGGTCTTTACCGACGGACCGGATACATGTCCATTTGCAGCGTCGTCAACCACTGGCAGCGCCGCGGCTCCGGCCAGTCCGAGCCAGCTGCCTCAGGCTATTCCCTCTGCTCCACAGTCCAGCACGGATGAATCACACCCATCCAATAGCCTCGGCTCACCGTACTTGTCGTCGGCCGCCCACTCCACGCCTCCATTTCCTTCCCCTTCCCCTGCCCCGGCAGCGGCAGCCATATCACCCTCCACAACAGCTTCCGTATCACTTTCTCTCAGAGCTATCGTCGGGATCGTGGCAGGGTCTATAACACTCTCGCTGTTCACCCTCTGCTGCTTATGTTACCGACGAAGGAGGCGGAGGCTAGTGGCAGCTGAACACAGCTCTATTTCTCCCTATTCCACGGGAGCTGTGTCTGATGCTGCCTCGAGGACGAAAGCCAGAGACTTCGCCACACGTCCATGGACACTTGTTGCTTTTGGAGCCAAGACGTCGGACCGTGCCAGTGAAACAGCACCGAGATCAGTGCCATCGGAAGGCCGCCAAGTTTCGGAGAGCGATGCTCTTCGACAGCGGGTGCGGGAGCTGGAGCAAGAGCTGCACCATTCACGCCAGTTGGAGGCAGAGCCACCAATTTACACACCAGCTCCTGGGCTTTGATGCAACACAGTTTCTCTGTAGCTACAGGCGCAGGTCGGGCAGCCCAAGCAGGGTTTCAGTCTGAAACCCTGCTTGAGCTGACTTAGTTAATCATTTAGGTTTTTGTCTGTGGATGTGGATACCTTGTTGCCTTTCACATAAGTATCTCATAAGATTTGAAAAAATTGTTAAAAGATGCAGATCAGAATTGAGTCAATTGATGAGTATAAATATACAATCGCGAGAGTGCATCAAAGTGGGACTAGGTCCCATTGT